ATGCTGCACCATATAGTGCAGGAGTGTCAAACTCATTTGTTATGAGGGCCAGATCTGACATGAATGAGACCTTGTCAGGCGGGCCATGTGTGTCATAAAATGTAATGCCAGGTAGCGGAGATATGAACTTTATAAAGGACACAGACAAACATGATTAAAGATTTTTTAAAAATCTTAAAACCTGCTTAAAACATTAGCACTCTTGCAATATTTTGTTTATTCAACAGTCTCTGATAACTGACACTTCTTGCTCTGAATTACTGCATCAAAATCTGGAGACAGTGTGTTGTAGCAATCTTGAGTATGCTGTTCAGGTGTATATAAGTTGCAAACCTACTTTTTGTTTATTGACATGCATTACAGAAATCTCATGGTCAACATGAAATGGCTGAGCATAGCGAGCTTTTGTACATAGGTTGTTTCATGTGCTGGTCAAGAACGTGTGAAGGCACCATGACACAGACTGAGGGCTATGTGCTTGTCTATAAAACTATAGTCTTCCCCAGAGAAATAATTGCAACTCCTATGTGGCAGTTTAAGAACAGAGACAGCCATGTATAGTGGTCAGTATTTGCCTACTATCTGGGAAGTCGTTCAAAATCCCCAGCCTACAACAGAAATGTGCTGGGTGAACTTGGTCTGGACACACATTCTCAGCCTAATCCACCTCACTGTTTTATTGTTATTCTCATCTAAATAGTGCACATTGCTTTCCTACTGCGAAAGACTGGATGAGGGGATGAATACAGTGAAAAAGAGGAGGGGAACCCAGTTGCACCCAGGAGAGCCCTGGCATAATGAGCCCAACAAAACTCTCTCTCTGTAGCAAGGCAAAAAACTCATACCTTGAATAAAACTTTGTTAGTCTTAAAGGTGCTTTGTATCTCTCCTGTGCGATTGAGGGAACTGGACAAAGCAAGCTCTCTTTCCCAAAAAAAATCTTTCCCTCCCTCCCCTCTCTTCCTCCCCATGGGATGAGAAGGGGGAGGAGCCTCAGCCAATGGAGAGAAGAGAGGCTTTCCTCTGTAGCTCTGCTGTGCGATTGAGAGAGCCTGGCAAAGCAAGCTGTGATGCAGAAGAAAGCAAGAGAGAGGGAAAAGGAAGCCGATGACAGTCAGTCGCTCACAGGCGGCATAAAAGACCTTTGGGGGCCGGATCCGACTCACAGGCCACATGTTTGCCACCCTGATATAGTGAGAGCAGATGGCAGAGAGATTGACAAAGCAATGACTCACACCATCGTAGGCTAGAACTTCTAGTAACAGACATTGGTTCCCTTAGGAGCCTGCATCCTTGATTCTCATTTGTAGGTACCATTGATCTAAACTCAGGTACAGACAAAATGTGGTTTGAGGGTCCATGTGGAAGTGGGAGTCACTTCAATTATTGCCTTTGCATACTGTGTTGCATTAGTGGGTGGGGCCTTTGTAGCTGTGTGTACTGGTGGTACTGTACTGTAGTAATGTTCTTGGTTGCTGGAATCCAGGCTGGTGGAGGCACATGAGCCCTGCCACATGACTTAGCAATATATGCTTGCAGTTGCTGCAACCAGGCATAGGCCCTTCAGTGGCCATTGTGTTGGTTGTATAAATATTTCGTGTGCCTTCTGTGTTGAAGGGGACAGTTGGTATCAGCTGCCTGCGCTGATATGTAGGTATTTTTTATTTATTTTTAAAAAATTTTATTAAATATAAAAAACAGTTAAAAATAGGAAAGCAAGTCCTGGTGTTTATGCAGGGCAAACAGGGAGGTTTCGATTTTATGTGCTGCTGAGGCTTCCAAGAGGGGCATCCATTTTTCTTGAAGATTGTCAGGAACGGGTTGATTTTCGGATCGTAGGATGCTAGTGGAAACTTTGTCCTGTAAAAAGAAGTCCCACAATTTCAGGAACCAGTCACTCAATAGCAGCGTCTTCTTGGATTTCCAATGAAATGCAATAACATTCCTAGCGGCCGCAAGACACAATTCTATCAACTCTTTCATAAGCCCATTGGGGGCAGGATGGCTCCAATGATTCAAAAGGAACAAGGAGGGTTGTAGTTAGAGGGCGCAACCTGTAATTAAAAGTATTTGGGCATTGACTTCTCTCCAGAAGGCCTGGACCTTGGGACACTCCCACCAGCAATGAATATAGGTGCCACGGCCCCCACAATTTTTCCAACATCTGTCCGAGATCGCGGGGTTAATGGATATGTAGGTATCATATGTGCTACTGCTTTTATTAGTGCTACTTTGTGGTGTACAAATTTTAGGATGGTCAGTGCAGAGCATATGCTGTGTTTTGAATCAGAGCCTAGTCGAAGGCTAGAGGCTCCTTTTCAGGCATGACCAGATGCACAAAAAAAGACTCAAATCATCTTTATTGAGCTCCTGATGCATCCAGACAATGATTGTACTCACAGTCTAAGCTGCTGAACGGATGAGAGAGCTCATCTTAGTGATAAAAGTCCTTTGTGTGTCTCGTGGTAAAGAGAGATGGTCTTGCCCATCTCTAGCCACTGAAGATTTCTCTAAAAATGAATGGAAAAGAGACAATAAAACTTTGGTGGGCTCTGTTGAGTACAGGAAAAGGAGCCCATCTGTAACCAATAAGGAATGCTACTTTCAGAGCATCTGGCCTAAAGAGCATTTGAACTACAATTACAATCATGTTTTCCTACTCTAATGCATACTGCTTACTGCTGGGGTGTAAAACCTAAGGCCCATGGGCCGGAACTGGCCCATCCACAGCTGTCTTCTCCACTCCCTCCCCTGCCTGTTCTCACCCTTTTAAGAGAGATTGGGGCTGTCAAACTTTCCAGCTGGCTGGGCCTTGTTTTTGCCTGTTCCTCCTCCAGCAGGAAGCTCCTCTGGGCAAAAGCAGAAAAAATGTGGAATGGATTTTCCTTTAAGGTTTCTGGACCCAGATAGACTACTCTGAGACTGGAATGACAGCCCCCAGAGCAGAATGATAATCCCTGAGAGTAGCAGCTGCATTCTGGGACTGGAATTCTGCTCTGGGGTACCTCATTGCATTCCCAGAATGCTTCTGCTACTCTGAGGGACCGTCATTCTGCTTTGGGGGCTGTCATTCCAGTCCCAGAGTAGTCTGTCTGGGCCCAGAAACCTTAATGGAAAATCCATTCTGCGTTTTCTTTGAAACTTCTTTTGAGCTGCAATGTATTTCGATGGTGTCAGAGTTGTCTCCTCGCAAATAAAGGGCTGATGTTTTGAGCCAGCTTGTCTCTGTTGAATGGACCTGAGAATGGTTGCCTGAGTGAGTACTCTGACCTGGGAACCCACAGCCAAAGGGGGACATTACACTGGAGAGCCACTGCCACTCTGCGTATACCTGGGGGGGAGGAGCTTGCAGTGCCGAGCCATTTTATGTTCCTAGGCTCAGAGCATTTATATTTTTAGTTTTTAGTTTTAGTTTCTGCTGTGATCCTTGTGCTTTTCCCTGATGTTTTATTTTAAAAATTGCATTTTCAAATCCCACTATCCCCCCACCTATCTATTTTAGGTAGGCACCTTTTAATGGTGAAGGGGGGAAGGTTTGGGAGGTGTCAAGTTATCAAAGACTATTAAATAAACAAAATATGGCAAGAGTGTTACTGTTTTAAGCACGTTTGTATTTTAAGTTAAACCCTTTAATTGTGTTCGTTGGTGTCCTTTATAAAGTTAATATATCTGCTACCTGGCATTACATTTTATGACACACATGGCCTGGCCCAACAAAGTCCCATTTATGTCAGATCTGGCCCTCGTAACAAATGAGTTTGACACCTTTGGCTAACTGTATAGTCTGCTGGGGCAGTACATGCTGCATGTGCATGTACATTCATAGCATATACCGCATTCATAGCCCAGTGGCATCTGTTAAGTACCAAGCTGCTGGGTACTTGGCTGTGTTAGCATGCTGGAGCTGCAAGATTCATGTAATCCCAGAGAGTTCGTGAGTAATTTGGAATTTGGAATACTTAGGGTTGTTAGATCTGTGAAAAGTAGGTTTAAGATTTTAGGTTTCAGATGGTGCTAAGAAAACAAACTAACATTACTAACATTTGGGAGTTTTGGGCGATGGAAGTTTTTATTTAACTTAAAGTTGAGTCTTTAGGTAGAACTACATGTTATGTTTTGTTCTGTAATCATTTTTAAAAACTTTTCCAAATGCAGATCCCGGGGCTACTTTCTGAGGGGGAGGATGGTGCAGGGAAAAAGAGGGACTCTTTAACTTCCTCCCCAGTCATTTCCCTACTGAAAAATGCCTTCCTTGAGCTGCTTTTATCCATGCTGGAGGAAAAAAACACAATTTCTCTTGTAGGAGTAAAGGGCCCTTCTGCCTGGGGAAAAAAAAAAACACAGTCCCAGTAACTGCATTTCGGAGAGGAGTATTTTAAAAATTATCATAGAACTAGGCACAGTTTGTTAATCAGACATTAGAAATGCTCTAACTACAGTTTGTTGTGATGTCTCAATTCTGGTGCCTTAATAAATGGTGCCCCCCCCACACACTGGGATTCTAAACCAAGATCATACTAGTTGAGAACCCTGATTACTATTAGTAGAGAAACAAACTTCAATTTGTTATTTATTTATGGTGCTTGAGCTCATCATAAACATGCTAAAGTACATCCATATAATAAGGAGTGATGGTTTGTAATATTCATGTATAAAATTCCAATGAACAAACATGGAAAAGGGTTAGTCTTAATTACTTTGCTCTTAATCCCTCCCCCTTTTTCCTATCTACCTGAAACAGTCAATTCAATTGCAGTTGGTGGTGAGGTTGTTTCAGTTTTGTTTGCTTTTCTAGCTTTATTAACGCTATGGGTTCATACAAATATTTTCATTACACTATCAAATGATCAAAGATAAGGGTTTGGTCAATGCTTTATTACCTTCTGTAGTGTTCATTTGTGTTGAAGAAAAATCTAAGCTCTTCTGTTCAAAGATCACCATGCCCTTTCTTTGTATCACTCCAGCTGAACCCAGTATGGTTTCATTCCCCCTCCCCCCAGATTTGCCAAGGCCAAGAACAATTGTAAGCAGAACAAGACTTGGAAGACAGATCACCTGATTCCCAGTTGGTGCTGTAATTGCAAGACTGTTCCCGTCCTTCATACCAGAAGGTAAACATTATGCCAGAGGAGAGCCCTTGTTTGCAATTCCAGCTATTACTTATGTCTTTCTAGTTAATTCAGTAGTTTTGCATTCTGAGATAAGCTACTTTGAGCCACCTGGAGGTTCAGGTAGCTCTTTCAGAGAAATCTGACCCCAACTCTACAAGATGTTCTAAATTTATCTCAATTTACCTATCATCCTAGTCTTTGCACATTCCTACTGAGGGACTGCATATGTGTGTAGTATGGGTAATTTGAATCCCATGGGGATAATTCTGATCCACAAATTATGGTTGATAGTTGACTCTGTGATGTTTGCATTGAACCTAAAAGCTGTTTTCCCTTTATTTTCTATTCAATATACGGACTTGGATCATGCCTAAAATATCTGTGGACAGAAGGGTTTCCCCTATTCACAACCTCCCCTCCTGAAATGCCCCCCACTTGTCCTGGGGGACAAGTGGAGGACAGAATAGTTTGGGAGGGGAGTTGGAAGCCTGTTTCAGGCAGGGGGGGGGGGGGGGGAGGATGGGTGAAAATAATCCCATTCACGTGATATATTATTTTTGCTGCTGTTAAATATTGATTTAAAATGTTGTTTGACATTTTAACTCAGTTCTTGTATAATTTTTCCCAGTGAGCTGAATGAAAAATGGGAATTAAAAATTCTTTATATTACTTATATTACAAACTCTGCTGAATTGTTTCTTGATTTGTCCACTAGAGGTCATTCCTCTGCTAAAAGTGATTTTGCTTAATATTAGGCTGTATGGTTCTGTTACCAATAAGAAATTAACCTAACTATTGGGTTAAAACTGAGATGTCCACACTTAGCATTCTGATCAGGGATCTTTCATGAAAATTTATATGTGGTTTGATTCGAATGTGTCCACCTGTGAAACATTAGGTCAAAATCTGTGCTGTTTATCAGCTGATCATGTCTGAACTCTGATCAGTAGTCTGAAATCAATGTTTATTTTTGAAAGTGTGGAGAACAATGGTATCTGTGAAAGAATTAAGTGTTTGTGGTATTGTCCATTTATGTGTTTTGCTTTGTGTTTATACATAAGGATTATGGACCTTTATAAGAGTGAAGAGAACTTGCTGTGAAGTTTCTGGTTATTTTAATCTATGGTAACAATACTGCAGCATATATATTTAAAATACATATAAGAGTTGCTTTCATCAGTGTTACTTCATTTCCCAAACAAGCAACAGGGGAAACCCAACTTGTGAGTGTTTCTACAAGCATCTGTGTCAGACATGGTCAGTGTGCTGGACTAGATGAAGCAATTAGGGGTATGCAATTTTTTTCTCAGTATTTTTCAGTTCGGACCTATTGGACCCAAAAAGGGGTTCCCAAAAAATCCTGGATACCAATACTGGTAAAATATTCAGATCCAGGATTTTTCGGAAATCCTGAATTTTTCCAGGTCCAATAGGCCTGAGAAGAAAAAAAACAAGAAAGAAAAAAAGGAACAACTAAACTGCAACAGCCCCCGCCTCTCAGCTGTTTTTGGGGCTTTCTTCTGCCGTCCCTCTAAACAGGACACATTTAAAAGGACTGCAGAAGAGATCCTGGAAAATAGTGGAGCTGGCAGGAAGCAGTCTCCCCACCGGTCAGCTGTTTTGAGGTCTCTTGTGCAGCCCCTTTAAACAGGACTGCACAAGACTGCCTGAAGCAAGAAGAAGAAGAAGAGATTGGATTTATACCCCACCATTCACTCAGAGTGGCTTACAAACTCCTTTCCTTTCCCCTCCCCACAGCAGACACCCTGTGACGTACGTGGGGCTGAGAGAGCTCTAACAGAAACTGCTCTTTTTCAAGAGCACCTCTGACAGAACTATGGCTTGCCCAAGGGTCATCCAGCAGCTGTGAATGGAGGAGTGGGGAATCAAACCCGGTTCTCCCAGATTAGACTCCGCGCGCTTAACCACTACACCAAACTGGCTCTCAAAACAGAAATCCATTTAATATATAGTCCTCAAATAGAGGAAATATCAGATATAAATCAGATATTAAATCTTGCTCGCCCAGCCTTGGGCTCTCTTGTGGAGTCCTGTTTAAAGGGGCTGCACAAGAGAGCCCAAAACAGTTGAGCGCGTGGGGAGACTGTTCCCTTCTGGCCCAGCTTCAGGCTCTCTTGTGCTGTCCCAAAACAGCTGAGCCTGCAGGGAGACTGCTCTCCGCCAGTCCAGCTTTGGGCTCTCTTGGTGCAGTCCGGTGTAAAGGGGCTACACAAGAGAGCCCAAGACAGCTGAGCTGGCAGGAAGAATGCTTCCTGCGGACACAGCTGTTTTTCAAGCTGTCTTCTGCAGTCCCTTTAAATGTGCCTTGTTTAAAAAGACTGCAGAAGAAAGCCTGAAAAACAGCTGAGAGGCAGGAATGATCTGCTGCTGTCTCTCAGCGGTTTTTTGGGCTTTGCTGATCTTCCTGAATATATCTGGGATTTTTTCTTGGTTTTCCCAAAAAATCCTGGATACCTTTGGGCTGCCCAAATGTGGGTATATTTTTGGTTCAGGAAGATCTGAATACACATCCCTAGAAGCAATTCTTATGCTTTGACGGGGTAAGCTGCCTTACTTATACATGGGTTGTTGTAGGAATGTATGAAGTTTAGTGTTTCACAGAATTCTTCGTGCTAGGAAACATTTTTATTTCTAGAGCGAGAATTCAAAAACAGTTTCCTGATTGATCATTATTATTGTTAATATCCAAGCCAAGGAATTTTTACAAGTGACCAAGCAGGAAGATTATGGTTCTTTTACTCAGACATCTGGGAAATGCTTATGACTACAAGATCAGAAGCAATTCCATGTGGGGCATATTTTTTGCTTTTTTCATGTATTGTCCATCAAAGAGCCAGTTTGGTGCAGTGGTTAAGTGTGTGGACTCTGATCTGGGAGAACTGGGTTTGATTCCCCACTCCTCCACTTGCAGCTGCTGGGTGACCTTGGGCAAGCCATAGTTCTGTCAGAGCTGTTCACCCAAGGACAGCTCTGGAAAGAGCTCTCTCAGCCCCACCTACCTCACAGGGTGTCTGTTGTGGGAAGGGAAAGGAGTTTGTAAGCCACTCCGAGTGAAGGGCGGGGTATAAATCCAATCTTTTCTTCTTCAATACAGAATACTTGCAGATACTCCAAGCTTCCTCTTCTGTTATACAGAATCGGCAGTTGAGGTGAATTTGTTCCTTGAGCAAGTGTATCCCCTCTGTCTTTATACTGTTTTTCTTTGGGGACCTCAAACTGAAAGGGCATGCTGTTTATCAAGTTCCACCATTACAAAGTGTTTTGAAAACAACAACAAAAAATCTTACGTTAATTTCTTTTTTTTCTTAAGTCCCCGGAGGGATATTTTTTTATTTTGCAAAACTACAAAAACTACAAAGAAATATTAGGAAAGGGACTACAACTAAGGAGAATGGAAAGCAAACCATACTAAACTAAAACCCCAAGAGGAGGAGATCTTTCCATTGTTAGTAAAAATGTTAGTACTGTTAGTGTTAATATCACAATATACTTGTAGAGTTCTTGGTTATAACAGTTCACATGTTATTTTATTGGTTGTTATGAGAGAAATTTCTGATCATCTTCTATTCTTCTCTTCAAAAGGCCATTTTCTAAGTCCTTCTGCCTTTACTTTGGCTTTCTGTCTCTGAAATCGTATACCACTCTGGCAGGTCCCGCCCGATTTTCTGCTGCAGAGTCCTCTTCCGTTCCCGAGGTAGCAGAGTCACTAGACTTTGTTTCCTCCTCTTTGGACTCTTCCTCTGTCCCCAGCTGGCGTCTCAAAAATTCTTTAGCTTTAAAAGTGGAGTCTATCTTCTCTCTTTTATCGTTGATCTTAAAGATGACACCCTCCAGAACCGCCCATCTGTACGATATCCCATTTGTTTGAAGAAAAGAAATTAGATCCTTGCAATTTTTTCTCTTTTGTCTAATTTCAAATAGAATGTCCTTTAAAGTTTTGATGGTTACATTTCCCATTTTCAGTGGAGTTGCTGAAGTTGCTTTTAAAATGGTGTCCCTAGTTTGTCTTCTTGCAAACTTGACCACTATTTCTCCAGGTAGGCTATTTTTTTAATGTAATTGGAGTATGCCCTATAGGCTACCTCCATTTCGTTTACAAGTTCATCCGCAGTTACGCCTACTACTGGAGTGATAATTTCACTAAGCACCTGCTTCAAGTCTTCTCGATCTGTTTCAGGAACCCCCTGAAACCTGAGAACCATGTTAGCTTTTTCCATCTGTAGCTGTAAGACTCGGTTCTCTTGGCAATTCTGCTTCATTTCCACCTCTCCCATCCTTTTCTTCAACTTCTTGCTTGTGGTGTCTATCTCTTTAATTTTCTCGTTTGCCTGCTCCACTTTTTTCTCTGTTTCGTTCAGCTGGAGCTGCTGTGCTGCAGAGATTTTATTCGTCACAGTCAATTGCGGGTTAATACCATCAAGTTGTTCCATCACCGGCTTAAGCATATCTGCCAGGAGTTTGAGGACATCTGCTCCCTCTTCCGGTCTCGGACTCTGACTGCCTGGTTTCGTTTTAAACTTTCTCTGCTGGGCCGCCATCTTTCCCGTTTTGTTTACAGTTTCTACCGCTCCCACAAAACTTGGAAAACTCGCCAAACGACTTCGCAATTCAGATAAGTCTCTCAAAACACTTTCGGTTTACTTCCTCCCCTCTCCCACTTCATGTCCATTAACCGCTCATTCGCAAAAGAGGCGTCCCTCTTTGCAATCTCTATTTCCAATTGCGGGGTGGGGGGGAATCGCTTTTCAAACTACTCCGTTTTATTTAGAACTCACGTTCATTGTCGGCCAGTTTATCTGACCACGCTCGGTTTTACACCATTCCGCTCGATCTCCGGCGCTTGTCCGGTCAGTCCAGCTTGTGCCCGAAGACCACTCAGTGTCTGGACTGTCGGGGCGGAGGGGAGCCTCATTTCTCCGGCATTATGCCATAGAAGAGGCTACCCCTCAAAAGCCCCCTGGCCTGGAGCCTATCACAAA